ACCCCCAGCTCCCTCCCTGTGCCCCCTCCATGGCCCTTTCCATGACCCCAGCTCTCTCCTTCTCCCCCCTTGGCTCCGTCCGTGCCCCCCTGAGCCCCAGCAGTTCCCGGGAAGTTTAAAACGGGCTTTGGGGGCAGCGACAGGGACACTCAGGAGCCTGGCCTGAGCCAAGGGGATGCTGAGGGGACACACAGGGTCCTGTCCTTGTCCCTGTCCCCAGGAGAATGGGCTGGAGAAGCATCTCAGGAATTAAATCTCGTGCCCAAACCAGCGGCTCGTGTCCCCACCTCCACGGTTCCCACGTCCCTCGCTGTCCCTGGCCCTGCCCTGTCCCCAGAGCTGGTGGCACTGCTGGTGACAGCTGGAGCAGAGCACACGTGGGGTGGCCCTGGGTCGCTCCTGGAGCCCAGCCTGGGCCAACTGCCTGTCAGAGCAACAAATTCCCTGTTGGTGTTGGCTGTTCCCAGCCCTGTCCCTGCGTGGAGACGCTCCAGACAACGCAGAGTCTCTCCCATTAAATGCATTAAATTAAAGAATGCAAAATCCTTCATGAAGAAGGAAGAATTGTGGCCTACTGGGGCTCTAGAATCATGGAATGCCAGAATGGTTTGGGTTGAAGGGACCTGAGGGATCCTCCAGTCTCACCCCTGCCATGGCAGGGACACCTTCCACTGTCCCAGGCTGCTCCAAGCTCTGTCCAGCCTGGCCTTGGGCATTCCAGGGATCCAGGGGCAGCCCCAGCTGCTCTGGGAATTCCAGGGCCTCCCCACCCTCACAGGGAAGGATTAATTCCCTATATAATCCATGCCCACACTGGTTTTTGTCTTTTCCCAGATTTTCGACCCTCCGGAGGAGCTGGAGCGGAAGGTGCAGGAGCTGGCAGACCTGATCCGGAGCTCCTCCAATGTGGTGTTTCACACGGGAGCAGGGATCAGCACGGCCTCGGGGATCCCTGACTTCAGGTGAGTCCCAGGCTGGCAGGGTGGCACCTCCTCCGTGTCCATCTTCCTTTGTGGAAAGCTCTGATTTAACCCAGACCTGCCCCATCCCTGCTGTCCATCCCGGATCCTCGGCTGTTCCCACAGAATCCCATGTGTGCTGTGTTTGCCCCAGAACCCTGCTGATCCATGAGCTCTGCTCCCATGGATGGGGCACCTGGAGCCTGAGCCCTCCCTTCCTGCTCTTTCCAGAGGTCCCAATGGTGTCTGGACTATGGAAGAGAAAGGGCTCTCCCCAAAATTCGACACCACCTTTGAGAACGCCAGGCCCTCCAAGACTCACATGGCGCTGCTGGGGCTGCAGAGAGTGGGAATCCTGAAATTCCTGGTCAGCCAGAACGTGGACGGCCTGCACGTGCGGTCAGGATTCCCACGGTACTTTCCCAGCCCCACACAGAGGGTTTGATTCCCAAGGAATCTCTGCCCTGGCTGATACGGGGAGTAGAAGCTGGGAGGGGATAAACCAGCTGGAATTTTAGAGGAGGGAGGTTCTGGTTCTGATCCAGAGGGTCGTGGAATGAAATCAGCCTTGGCTGTTGCTCTCTGGAAATTTTTCCAGGTGCTGTTTGTGCAAAAACGGATTATGGAATGATGGAATCCCAGAATGGTTTGGGTTGGGAGGGACCTTAAAGCCCATCTCGTTCCCCCTGCCGAGGACAGGCTTGAAAGATGCCCAGTGTGACACTGCTACCTCTGGTGTTTTATGCTGAGGGAAAGGAGGCCCTGGCATAGGTTTCCCAGAGAAAAATGGGATGGCCCATCCCTGGAAACAAGGATGGAGATAGGGACAGGCCTTGGACACTCTCAGGCACAAGGTGGGATTGTTGTGGTGTCCTGTGCAGGGCCAGGGGTGGAATGGGGCTTGGAGCAGCCTGGGACATGGGAGGTGTCCCTGCCCATGGCAGGGGGCTGATCTTTTAAGGCCTTTTCCAACCCCATCCATTCTATGATTCCATGAGTCAGGATGTGGCTGAGGAGCACCAGGAGAAGGTGCCTGTCACAAACACCTTCAGCCAGAGCTGCCTCCAGGCATTTCCTGTCATTACAAACCCCAGGTCCTGGGTCCTGCTCCTTGTCTGTTTAACCTAAACAACCATGGGAAGAGCAGTAGGGAATGATGACAGAATTCCATGGTGCTTCCACAGCCTGGAGCCTCTGGCTCCTGTTCCAGCTCATCCCAGCTCTGCATCCCAAGCAAAGCCTGTGCTTGAGCAAGCTGAACTGGGGCCAAACTGGGGGAAATCAAGTCAGTCCTGTCTCACACAGCCTGGAGGAAGTTCCCAGTCGGCGTGGGGCTCTGAGGAAAATAGGGAGAGCATGGCTGTGTTTTCCTCTGGCTTCTGCTCTGAGCCTGAGGGGAATTTTAGGAAAAAGAGGTGTCAGAGGGCTGGGACAGCACAGGGACAGACAGGAATGTTGGGTGCTGGAAAAGCAAAGATCTGGATGCTCCCAGAAGAGATTTGAGTGGATCAGGAGCTGCAATCAGTGCTGCAGATGGAAACACTGAAATTGAAAGGCCAGGACCTGCTGTCCCTCCCTCAGTACCTGTTGGGGGATGAACCCATCACCTGGCAGAGCTGGAATGCAGGGAAGCCCTTGAGGTTCCTGGGGAGGAGGTAGGGTTCTCCCAGGGCTCCCCACCCTTCCCAGCTCACCTCTGCCTTTCTCCCACAGGGACAAGTTGGCCGAGCTCCACGGGAACATGTTTGTGGAAGAGTGCGTGAAATGCGGGAAGTACGTGAGCCCTGGGGAGGGGCTGGGCTGGGATTTCCATCCCAGGGGAAGCTGGGCTGGGATTTCCATCCCAGGCTGCGGTGGGGGGCACTCCAGCCCCTCCCTGAGCCCAGCCCTGAGCAGCTCCGTGTCTCTGCAGGCAGTACGTGCGCGATGCCGTCGTGGGCAGCATGGGGCTCAAGCCCACGGGCCGCCTCTGCAGCGTCACCAAGGCCCGGGGGCTGCGGGCCTGCAGGTAGGGATCCCTCCTGCCATGTGGGACAGGGGGATGAGCCAACAGCCCCTCGGGTTTGGGAGAAGCAGCCCAGGCTGCAGGAAGATCTGTCTGGGTGCTCTCGGTCCCTTCACAGTGCAGGGACAAGAAGGGTGGGACAGGCTCTGGTCGTTGTCCCCTCTGCCGAGGCAGCTCCTGCCTTTTCCAGGGAAAACCATGGTCCTGTGTGTGTTTTCCAGAGGGAAGTTACGAGACACTATTCTGGATTGGGAAGATTCCCTGCCCGACCGTGACCTGACACTGGCAGATGAGGCCTGCAGGTACTGACACCCTCCTGACACAGGAGGGGAACAGTCCCTTCCCACCCATCCATGCCCTCATTCTGGATTTCTCCTCCTCCCTGCAGGAAAGCCGATCTCTCCGTCACCCTGGGGACCTCTCTGCAGATCAAACCCAGCGGGAACCTCCCGTTGATCACCAAGAAGAGAGGAGGGAAGTTGGTCATTGTCAACCTCCAAGCAACCAAACACGTGAGTGAGCGTCCTGCAGCTCCACACTGCTCCTTTCCCCTCCTGTCCCCTGTTCCAGGCCCATCCCGAGTTTGTCCCTGCACGTTGTCCCCTCCCAGGTGGCCTCTCTTAGCAGGCAAACAGGCTGGGAGTCCTGGGTTGGAGGGTTTAAACCTGCAACTCCTGCTGAACACGCAGAGATTGCAGGTAAATATTAGAATAGTGGAAAGGGCTGGGTTGGAAGGGACCTTAAAGCTCATCCCGTTCCCTCTCCCATGGGCAGGGACACCTTCCACTATCCCAGGCTGCTCCAAGCCCTGTCCAACCTTATCCAAGCAAGTCTTAGGAGCAGAGTAAAAGCTCAGCCTGGAGCTTGCTGTGTCCTCAGGGTTTACAGCCCGATGGAATGACCACACACACGGAGTCTGTGTAGGGCATGCTCGGTTCCTGTTCAGTTCCTGCTCGGTTCCTGCTCAGATGTTGGTGCCCAAGTGTCCAAAGTCTTTAATACCCAGAGCTGGGGGTCCCTGGGGTGTCACCAGAGCTCCCTCGTGCGTGTCACGCTCTGTCCCTGGCTCTGTGCCTGTGTCCCTATCCCCAGGCTCCAGCCCATGCCCCAGCAGAGCCCCGGGGTCACCTCGTGGCCCACCGGGGACATCCTGCTGTCCCTGGGAGGGGCCGTCTGTCCCCTGAGCCGTGTCCCCGCTGTCCAGGACCGCCAGGCCGACCTGCGCATCCACGGCTACGTGGACGAGGTGATGACCAAGCTGATGAAGCACCTGGGGCTGGAGGTGCCCGAGTGGACGGGGCCGGTGGTGGTGGAGAGCGCCGAGCTGGCCAAGGCCGAGCAGCTGCAGGGGCGGCTGAAGGAGGAGCCGCTGTCCCAGCACAACGGCACGGGAGCGCCGTGTCCCGGGAACGCGCCGCTGGAGCGCCGCGACGGGCTCAAGCTGGAGTGTCCCAGCCCGGACACGGGGCCGACGCCCGTGAAGAAGATGAAGGTGGAGCCTCTCCTCACCTGACCTGGACTGTCCCTGTCTCACCTGGGCTGCTTTTCCTACCAACTTTTTTTTATACCCTTAAATATTGTCCCTTTTTTTATGTCAGTATTAAACACACTTGAATTGTGGCTCGCGGAGCAGCTGCACCCATGGGCCTGGAGAGGGCCTTGCACAGGGAAATTGCTGCCTGTGAGGGTGGTGAGGCCCTGGAATGGAATTCCCAGAGCAGCTGTGGCTGCCTCTGGATCCCTGGAATGTCCAAGGCCTTGGAGCAGCCTGGGACAGTGGAAGGTGACTCTAATTCCACGTCACTTGGTCATGGAAGGGCACTGGATCCCAGCTGGACTCAGGGATGGGAGCTGTGGGAGGCTGCCCTGACTCCCCACAAGCTCCAGGTTGGGCATGGCCGTGTGTCCCCGCTCTCCTGGGCCCCTCCTGGCAGCTTGAGGTCCCCCTGCCCCAGGGCTCCTTGAAACCTCATGGATCATCCCCTCTTAAACTACCGCCAGTGGATTTTTTCCAAAATATCTTATATTTAGAGATGAAAATAAAATTACAAAAACAAAGACCAAAACAAAACCAAGAACAAAACCAACCAGTTGCACCATCAGCAGCCAGCCAGACCAGGGCCCCTCCTGCTTCTTCAGCTCCATCCTGACTGACCCCATGTCCCTTCCACAACTCCCACTGTGCTGGAGGGCAGGAGCAGTCCCTTCCCTCCCAGTAAGGCCAGTGGGAACAGGTCTCTTCTTCCCAGTTCGCAGAATCCAAGCAAAGCCAAGCAGGGCCAGCATCCGGAGGCAGATCCTGGAGGGGTCCCCCGAGGGCTTGTCCTGTAGGGGATGAGGTGCTGGCACCCCACAGCACCCCCGTGCTCCCTGCTCTGCCTAAAGCTCCTCTGCCGGCTCCAGCACCGCGGGCCGGCTGTGCCTGGGCTTGGACCACGCCAGGGATGGCAGCCCCGGCTGTGGCACGGTGCCATCCCCTGGCACAGCTTCCCCGTGGTCCTCATGGCTCAGCCCCTCGGGGGCCGATGCCCGCGTGTCGTTCCGGAGGGAGCCTTTGTCGGGCGGTGTCGGGAATGTGCCCTGGAACGCCTCGGGCAGGGTCTCGGGCGTCTCCTCCGACCACAGCGGCTCCGGGAGCTTCTCATCCCCGGCCTGGGGCTGGGTGTGAACCACGCGGGAGGCGGCGGCGT